CTAAAGAACACCTCTAGTTATAGCACACTTGTCAATTTATTTTAACAAATTCTCCTCGGAGACACCAAAATCTATTAGCCTTAAGGGCCAGATTATCCTGTTAAACTGTTAATTGAATATTTTCATTTTCATGCAAAATCAGCAATTCACTGGATCATTGCTTTTGTGAAATGTCTCACAGGAAATCATCCACAGAACAGTAGATGCCTTTCCCAGGTTTTGTTTAAGCAGAAACTGTTTCATTGATTAAAGGTATCACTCATGGGACTAGTCAATATTAATAAAAAATCTTAAGATACTCCCTTAGAGTTCATGTGAACAAGACTACATCTGTAAAAATCAGCTTGTGTGCTATCACAGGGAAAAGAAAATTCACATATTTTCACAATTTCAGCTATTACATTTTTTAAATACATCTATTGTTTATAAACCATCAAAAATCAGAAAACAAAACAACAATTTGTTTTTTTTACTTATTTTTCAAGGATGTTATCATTAGTTATTATAAATATGAATAATATCAATTATATATGAGAAATAGTTGAACTGAAATTATAATATCTTCTATCATTTTTACAGTTTTAGTTCTTCATTCTGAAGCTCATCTGAAATTCAGTTTCCAATTCCAACACATGCGTTCCTTTCTTTGATTTGAGACTCCACCCAATATATTCATATCATCGGCTTGTTGCCCATTTCTCTTTTTGATGTTCATTCTCACAAGAATTGTTTGTTTATATGCACAATTTATTTGTACTAATTATATACAGTGAAAGAAAATTGATAGTCCAAAAAAGGATATGCATAGCTTATTCAGCCATCAATCCATTTATTTTCTAACTGTTTTGTATAATAGAGTCATGGGGGAGCCTGAGCCTATTTCAGCAAGAAACGAGCGTAAGGTGAGATACACCCTCACTGACAAAATGCATGTGTTGGGGTTGAGGATTTCTCCTACCTTGACAAGGACTCAAATATCTACAGTACTGTATGTATGTACAGTAAAACACCCCCAAAACATAATAATAAAACAAAAGTCCCACCTCACAATACACGTGTTTTTTTCAATATCTTCATATTTTTATGCCAAACAAACTTTTACAGTAGGGCTATCCAAAATCCTCATTTTACCATAAGAAATAGTTTGAATTGTCATAGAAATGACTTCAGGCAAGTTTGAGTTTCAGATGACTTTGAATTGTAGTTTTCGACAACTGTTGCCTTTGGATTTTGGATGCCTCACAAACCCCTTGTTTTACAGCCTATGGTGTAATTAAATTTCTTAATGCATGCTATAGAAGAATGTGTTAGATTTAACAACTTGTGAAGGTTAATGACCATTTGCTTTGCAATTTTCAGGGAGCTCTCAGACTTTAGCCTACTACTAACTTCCATGTGCATTACTTCCTTTCAACTGCAGGGAATTGGGGGGCAATTGCAATTGCATTTCAAAATAGTAGAATGTTATTGGAGATTTGCTTTTGTTAAATTTTATTTAAAGAGAACCTCATTCTGTTTCGGTATGTTTTGTTCTTATTTTATCAGGGGTGTGAAAGAATCTGGAGGGAACTGTACATACTGTAGAATTCATCCCACACAGAAAGTCTTGAGTGACTCCAATCAGGTGAGCAAAAGAATTGTCGGCTTGAAATATGAAGGGACTGTATTAATGTAACAGCAGGTGGAGCAAAGGTCACAAAGTGTTCTCAACAAAAAAAAACGAATTTAGTGACAGTATCATCGACAGCTACAAGCCAGCTCCTAAGACTGCCATTATGCCACCCAAAACTATATTATTATCACCACTGAATAAAACACAGTGCTGGAATGTGTGAGAAAACACCTCCCTTTGCCAAAATCCAAGAGGGTGCTGGTAAAGTTGGCTTCAGATTGCATTTACTGTATACAGAGTGGTGATGTTTTGCCAAGATGGTAGCAATGTAAATGTGCCTGCATTGGATACAAGCAGCTCTGTGTAATCTGATGACTGTTTTCCATTACAAAATAGTATTAGCAGCTGTGAAGTGTTGTTGTCAGAAGCCAACTAGGGTGGTCACTTCTGGGTCACCACACATGATTGACAGGTAATGGTGGAGAGACAGGGGCAAAACCCTTCTATCAGCTTCAAGTTGTGATGCTCATACTGGTAACATTTCCAAAGTGCATTCCCTGTCTCATCTTCACTGAGATGTGGCATTGTTTCTGTGTGATTACAACTGGAGAACATGTGTGTCTTTTAATGCTTAAAAGCACTACTTTTTCAAGTGGAAACATCTAAGCAGACAATTTTTTTAACATCATGTCATTTCATTCTCAGGAGGTAATGAGGTGTGCAGAATAAGGGTAGGAACTCTCACAGTTTCAACTTGCCTATCACATTCCCTTATTATTCTCAAGATAAAGGATTGCTTGCATTATACAGTATACTGTATAACTGAGTGAAGTGCTACAGAAGTATTATACATACATTGAATGTACTGTATGAAACTATTTTTGTGGTTTTGTTAATACATAATGTTTATTGATGTACTGTACAAGCCATTTTAGATAACAACAGTTCAATAATATTTAAGTTTTAGCACATACAGTAGTTGTAGTTCTTCAAATAGATTTTATAGTATTTTGTCAGCGAACAGTACAGTATATCACATTACCAAAGAAATACACAAATATAAGCAGATAAATGGAAATGTTACTATGAGGACAGTTTACTCGCCTCATATAATCATTAAAATGCTACAAGGTGCAACTCAATTTTCAATGTTAAAGAGCTTCTTGCTGTGCTTTTATTTATTGGATAACAGCTGTCTCATGCAGTGCCAATTAAATTTAATCACTATAGAGAGAAAAAACAAGTTTCCACTTACTACTAAATTTGACATCACGGTATATTGGATTTTCAAACTTCCTTATACAGTATCTAGAATATAATTGTAATATTTATATATTTTATTATTTTTGTGAGATAAGTATATTAATAATATCTTCAACCTGAAGAATCCTAAATAATTTTACAGGTAGAGAGACCCATTACATTTGTATCATACACACTGGAGTGTTAAACAAGAGCCCCTTTGCAACTACAGCTCACTATAACTAGATACTTTATTACCCTTATTATACCAAATACTATATTCAGCTAAAGTACAGAATTATTTAAACTTCACAGAGAAATTAAACTAGACCAGACTGTGAAACTGTTATGAAATGAATCTGAACTGTAATGTTCCAGGCCATTAAATAGTGTAAACTCATTAAATAAGTGTAAAGTCGTTTCAATGATGTGGAAATTCATGTTCTTCTTTCCAATATAGTAAAAACTAATATATCAAGAAGCTTTGAATCGCATTTCAAAACTTTACACAAAGGGATTCTTCATATAACAATTACTCAGTGCCAACCAGAACTAAAGGACTATTCTTTAGAAGCAATAATGCCTCACTATATCATCTGGGAGAATACTGACAGTGTGTATTTCCAACATGATACTAAATAAGCATTTCAAACATTCTAAACTTGAATTTTCTCTGAAATGTTTATGCTGCTTTGGCCTGTTTTCAAAGCCAAGGGGGCCTGGCCTATTTGTATGTAAGACATAAGAGAACTGGCTCTGATTTTGAAGACAAATGAACTGCAACTAAATCTACATGACTACAAGAGTCTTCCCATAGCACATATGGAAACCATCTTTGAAACAAACTGCCATGTTTATGTTCTACAAAACAGCAAATCAAAAATGTTTTAGATGAATCTCTTCACAAGAGAAGTAATGGGGTTCTTTTCTATATTAGAAAAATAGAAGTTCAGATCTAGTGTGTTTAGTTTAGAACCTTCTAACTTGATCACCATGTTATCTCTCTCTATTGTAGTAAAATAAGTAGTCATATTTTTCTAGCATTTGCTGATGACACTGCGGTTAAATCAATTTGGCTTTATACTACATAATATGTAACAACAAAAAAAAACAGTTTAAAAAGCTTTACTTTAACCTGTATTTGTTATTCATTGAGATTAAAATATTTTAGAAACATATACAAAAATGACATGATATGTATATCTAAAATCTAATTTTAATAAACTGAATAAAGTACTGCATAAGAGAGTAAACGTCTTAGTAAAGATGTTAAACATTTTTTTGTGAATCTGTTAAATGAAATGGTTTATTTTTAATTAACATCAGTACTGCTTACAGTACATACATGCAAGAATGTTAAGACCTATTAACTTTTTTTTTAATATTGACTTATCTAACCAGTTTTAATTAAAGATATGAACTTAAAAATATGTAATGCATACGTCTTTATCTTGTAGTTCAGCAAATGTTAAATCATTTGAATGGGGTGAATAATTTTGCAGGGCCCTGATCATGTGTATCTCTGTGCACTGTATGAGTAAAAATCCAATAAAAGAATATTAAGCTATAGTACAAAACATAAGTAACTTCTGTTGCTCCTTTTATACATGCAGTGCCTTCAATACAATGCTTTTATATCTGGCATAAATATACTGGAGCTACTGCATGTAAGCAAAATTATTTTGATTTACAGTATGCAGTGCCTGTATTAGAAGGCAGCAAAATCGTTTTTTGCTTGTTCTGCAGAGATAACAACTGGAGCACAATGATTCAGCATTAATTGGAAGGAAACAGGCCCATGACAATCTTCAAACCTGTCACAGTATACTGGTCATTATTACCACTAAATGGACATTTGGGCAGCATCGTGAGCAATGCAGTCTTCAAGCTCTGTTACCAAATGGGCTACCTGCAAATGTGCAGGGGCAGCAACATTAGAAATTAATATGAGAAAATCCTGCTCCTGGAGGACCAGTGTGTATTTCTTCACAGCACTAGAATCCAAAGAGCTGGAAGACGTTGAGCTGATTTAGGTTGTTACCAGCTAACCATTTCAGAGTTAAAATGAAAACCTGCAGACATGCTCGTCCTCTGGGATCAAGACTGCCCACCCCTTCTTTAGGGGCAGGTGGTGTGGTGTACTCACCCAGGTCTTTGATTAGAGAAAGTGCCTCCCAAGAAATTAAAGCTCCTCCGCCATCATCCATGGCTCCTTGCCCAACATCCCAGCTGTCCAGATGTCCACTGATTAGCACCACCTAAAAACAGGAGCAAAGTTGTCTAAAATGAGGGGACTTCAATAACGAACTCTGCTAACTTTTAATTGTCCATAACTCAGATACTGTAGGTACCCCACCAGCATAGGTAAATAGAGTTACTCCCTTCCAAAACTGAATCTTATTTTATGGCTGGTATGAACTTGTCCTTCTATGTGGACAATTTATAATATGGTCAACAAAAACAAATACAGTAGATAACCACTTGAGTATGAATGTCTTGTAAAATCAAGGTACCACAAACCTATTACACATACCTTGCCTTTACCTTTTAAATAAAATAATCAATTTTACTTATAAAATAATAGTGTATAACATCACACATAACACACAACAATGGCAAACACAGCAAATTGGTGGTACCAGATTTATTTATTTTAATACAGGTGTGATAGCAGCAGACTTTAAGTCTACGGAAGCAAGACCAGATTTCAGTGGCACATTAATGAAGTTAGTAAAAAATTGAAATGACTGACTGAATGAAAAGACCTGTTTAAGATACTTTAGCTGCCAGCTCAATCATTCAGGAAGCATCAAGCACAGTAAAATAAGTGCTGATAAACACTCCTAAAAACAGGCTGTCTGCATAATGAGCGTAACTCTTTAAATAATCTAGCTTTGCAGTTATCTGCTAATTTCTAGCATTTATATAAACTATTATAATTAAAACTAATAGTATATACAACACAAAAGAAAAAGGGAAATAACCTTACAATGAAAAAGGAGGAGAGAATGTTATTTAAATTAATTTTTGTATATGTTTCATTTAATTTAATTAATAACTTTCATTTTTCCTCCTTATTTCAGCATCTTCCATATTGCATTTGCAACCCATATAATATACAGTACATGTAATGTTTCTTTTCTCTGCTATCTCTATCTCTCAGTAGAATGCCTATAATTAGATATAAAATAAATATAAATATCACATAATGAAACTCTAATTACAACATATACGCCAAAAGACAAAGTCTGTGTCTGGAAAAAAAGAAAGGAAAAATATCTTGCTGTTCTGATTTTCTACAGTAACTGCAATACTGAAATGATTGGGTCATGGGTTAATAATAGGAATAATACCGCAATGGTATGAGTGCTTCTGTATGGAATGTTCCATACAGAATTGTCTGCATTAAGCGGTAAGAATGGAATCTTTTACTTTCTGAAGAAACAAAATCTCACATGAATGTTAAACGCATTGATGACTGGGAAAACAAGTCTTGCCTCCTTTATTTGTATTACTATACAAATGGTTAAAATTCAAAATTTAATTAACTTTCATTTTCCAGTTACAAAAAGAAACATATCTTCCAGCTCTAATGCCAAGTCTTTAAAAGCTTCATGTCAATTTAATTTCATTAATAATTTGGTACTAGTGCTATAAATGAATACTACCAATTTACATAAAATAATTTTCTAAATAACATGGGTTACAGTTACAGGAAGGATAATTACTTAATTGATGTAATCAAATACTTAAGTATACATTATCCTTCAGAGTGCAAAGTAAATTGTCATTAAACTATCCAATCATATGACATTCTACAGTATATCCATATATTACTATATTATATATGTTTACTAATTACTATATACTGTATATCTTAAAGGACAGTTTAATTTTTAAGCTTTGAGCAGTAAATGTGCATCAGAAATAGAATTCCTACTGAAACTGTGAAAGTGATGAAGGTGAATGGGGGCTCTATTTAACACAAATATCCTGACATATCACTGACATGGAGCCTGCAGTAGTCAGGAGACAGGAGATTTAATGAAGTGCAGATGCAAGCAAGCACACCGGTGAAAGTGAACTGGTATCACAGATATATCTGAAATATATATTTGTAGGTGTTTTCCACATATACAGATTCAGAAAAAAACATTTAAATACTGTAGACATGAAAATAACAAAACTAGTCTTAAAAATTCACTATAGGATTTCTGATTTACTTGCTGTGAAAATGAAAACATTACAAGGTAAGTATCAGGTATATCTTCCATGAGAATTAACCCAATCTTGATGTTGCTGTGAGATATTATAATGCTATTAAAAAGGTCACAAAAGTAGTGTAATGTTCTCGGGATATGTGTAACCAAAGTGGTTTAACATGACTTCAGATTAAATACAACTGTATCCTTAAGTATATACAAGTAGGTCTCGATATGTGAACCCTCATAGCCAAATTCTCGTGTAACAACTCCACCCTTATACTGTACCATTGCATAATGTATTACAGTAGTATCGTTAAAAGGCACAAGTAACCCTCCTTTCTAAGATAATTAATGTACTAATGAATTTACTTTAACATAATTTAAATAACATTGATTATCTAAAAGAAACAAAAGTAATTAAAACTTACAATCGGTTAAACAACATGAAAGCCAGGCTTCCAGCCTAGTCATGAAAAGGGCAATAGATCTATCAGTAAGCCTGTAAAGTCGTCATTAGCCTTTCATCCCCATGCTGCTGACAGGACCTGGAGTGCTCATTGCAATATAAAAACAAGACCATGTTGAGGTGCAAATGCTGGGTAGTGGGTATTTGGGCAGGCAGCAGGGAGAGGCTCAGTCATTAGCTAGATTAGTCTCACGATCGTTGAGCCACTAATTGTGAAAGTTGTGGTTAACAACCTTCAGCTCATTTTCAGCCCGCTGTGCTCTTCTCCCATCCAAGAGCCCGTTGCCCAGAATGAATTGTAAATAAGCAATTTTGCTAATGTTAAATTTGCAGATGTGGAGACCCTATTGCATATTTAAATTACAAGCCACAACTCACAGTGATACAAACAAAATCAGCCAAGAAGATCAAAAAGCTTTGAAACAAATCAGTGATACAGAAATAAAGAGACATTGATCATGTGAACTTTACTGTTTGATTAAAGTTGATGTCGATTATTAAGAAGAGGAATATGCTCATGCCACCCACACACTATCTCAAAAAGGACGCCCTTCTAAATTGAGTGTACAGTGACTTTGAAAGATTTGCAAATTTCTGTGTCTGGAATGTGAATCACTGTTCATACATCTACAATATCTTAGTCAGCATACAAAATAAGCCTATTTGGATAAGTGGCACATACTGTACTATAAGGACCCTTTACAGAAAAAAAGGCTTAATCCCTAATATCTTTAGACTTTAGAACTTAAATCTCTATTAAAAACACAGCTGATATGTGGCCATGTGGCACAAAAGTTTGATGATCAGAAAAGATAAAAATTAAATTCACTGGTCTAAAACCCTGATGAAAGTCCAACACAACACATCACCCAGTAAGTACCGCCCCAGATGTCAAGCAAAGATAATGACAGCATCTTGTTATGGGAATGATTCTCATCAGAAAGGAATGGGCAGACTGGGACTGACTGAAAAAAATGGATAGCACAAAGTACAGGTAAACCTTAGATATAAACATGCATATAGTGTCTGCATAAAGTGGTAAGATTAGAAAGAATAGAGTGATTCCCCTTCAAGTCTTGAATCTATTAAAAATGGTCTGGCTTGATGATGGCAGACTATTAACTATTCTTAATTAACATGTCAGAAGTGCAACACTTTCGTGAGAAAGAATAAGCAAAATTATACCATCACACTGTTCAAAGCTGGTAGATACAGTACTTATTAGAAAGTATTACTAGCAATAATTCCTGCTAAGGATGTTTCTGTTATGTAATGATTCCAGAATACTTCTGAAATTAGTCATTTTCACTGTGTCCATATAAATGCCTGGCTATAATTCATCCTCCTTGTAACAGTGTTTAGTTTGCTTATTATAGTTTTGTGTAATGATGTAAACAAAATTAATTTCAATGTACATTGTCCATTTGAAAATAAAAATATAATTACCTGTAATTTATCTAAATGTGATTCCAATTATTGGCAGGGGTTTTATGGAAAACACTATATATTATGGATATATTAAAACACTCGAGCAGGAGGAAACAATATGAAACAAGCTCATGGATCTTGTATGAGCTTATTAAAGACCTCAACTCACAGTAGTTTTAAATGCAAGCACTAAGATAAATTCTGTAAAGTACTATATTGAAAAAAATCTATAATGCAGTCAGCAAGAAATCTACCAACATCATTTAGAGCTAGTGTAGCTCAACTGCTATACTGTAGGCTCACTGACTCGCTGACTCTACATTAAGAGTTCATACCACAAAATCAAAATGTTATATAAATGGTCTCAGGAAACCTCTGTTTGAATGTGCTCTGAAAATAAAAATAGACATCTACATCTGTTAACATGCAGAAATCATCAAGTAATGATGTAATAGCTACAGATAAAGCAGAGGCTTTTCCATGGAGAAAAAAGAAAATGATACCTACTGTATAATCCAGTAGAGATTACTGTAAGGTAGCTTCCCCACCCCCTACAATAAACCGATTATGGAAGCTTGTCAATTACTGTCTTTTAGAAAGGTTTATTTTACACATTGCTGTTAATGTAGAGATTATTATTATCTGGTTAGCAAATTCGCTTATTCAGGATGACCTACCAAATATACATAATCCATAAAGTCAAAAATAAATGATTCACATACAGCAGAAAAATAAAAATAACTAGAAAAAAAAACTAAAAAGTAAGGTAGCACATGCTCTTTAAGTATTTATTTAAATTTAAGAATTTAAGTGTAAAAACAAATTGGAAAAAAAAGTCCATGGAGCAGTAAACAACATGTGGGTAGTAGAATTCACTGAATAACTGTAAGGGACAGTCATAAAACCAGACTGCAGTAACAGTGGTAAGAGTTCATAGTAGTGTGAGACACATCATAAAAGCTGACTATACACAAGAGTCTTGAAGGAGACGCTGAAAGGTGGTTTACACAATTTTGATTTCAATGGATGGTTCACTGCACCACTGCGTAGCCAGGCCTTGGAACTGGAGAAGTAAAGAGGAGGAACAGACAGTCTGGTGGAGTAGGAGTGGGAAAAGTCAATGGTATACGGAGAGATAAAGGATTGGACACAGACTGGC